TGGTATGGTGATAGTTGGTTATCCGGGTCAACATATAGGATACTTTTTACTGCGGGAAAATATCTCATATCTGAGAAAAAATACAAAAACTGCAATGTAAGAGTATACTAATATGTAAAACTTAAGAATTTTGTTTTTGGTCATTTGAACGCGGGCGGAGCCGCGGGCAATGCTAGTCTATACTAATATTATAAATGCGAAAGTTTGTAAGGATGGATGGATGAAAGTTTGTTACTCTTTTACGCCAGAACGGCAAAACGGATCTAGATAAAATTTGGCACAGATATAGATTACAGTCTGGGATAACACATAGGCCATTTTTATCCCGGAAAAATGTAAGTCTCCCGTGGGATAGGTTTATTTTGGTCTAGGAACGAACCCGAAGCGAAGCGAGGGTGAAGCGCTAGTAATATAAATGCGAAAGATTGTACGTGTGTGTTAGTCTTTAATGATGAAACGGCTGCACGTATTTGGGTGAAATTAAGTACACAGATAGATTACGATCACATAAAAAGCACATAAGCTACCTTTAAACACCCTTCTCAGTAAAACACATAAAGAACCCAAAAAATTTAAGAAAGCAAGCAAAGCCGTAGAAAAAAGCTTGTAATTTAGGTGTAAATTATACAGATATTTTGCCCGACATACAGACAACGCACTTATAAGTTAGTAAGTTATGATATAGTCCAATATTCATCCAATTAAAATCAAAAAACCAAAAGTTATATTTTATTTTTTATTTTAGCGGAACTGCGCTCGCAGACTTTTCGTCAATATTCCTCCAAAAGCATCGAGCTTCCGAATGTTACTTAAATTAAGCTTGAATATTTTTAGCCAAGTACGAGTGTTTCGAGGAACTATATTGTGCAGCAAGTTTTTAAGTAAATAATTACTAGTTAAAGTATTAATATAGTATGTTATCCTTAAGAGATAGACATATGCCATCGCGGACTTTTCTGTATGTGACCTATATAAGATACACAATTCCATTATACATTATTTTATTTGAGATATTCAAAGGGTTTAGGCAGCGTTTTCGTTGAAAGCTCCCAGACGGCTTATTTTTTTCCGGCACCTCCAACAAATATCGTTATATTTTAGCCTATGTATACAAAAACTTAACAAATTATATACTAAAATCTTCCTCAAGAACCACTTTATCCATTGGTGAAAACAACATGAAAATCGGTGCAGTAATTTTTGAGTTCATCGCGAACAGACAGACGCGGCGGAGGACTTTGTTTTATAATATGTAGTGATAGTTTAAAAAAACTAAAAAACACGCTTTTGATGAAGACGAATTATATCAGCCCAAACTTTTGGGGTTCATTAGCAGCCATTGAAGAGTTCCACTAATCTTCTGACTGCATCTAAGATCAGCTCCAAGATACCAAATTATAGTACAGGCTCTCATCCGAACTACATAGGTATACACACCAAGTTTTATTTCGTTACTACAACTAGAAATAGGACAAAATTTACTTCTAAGATTTTATTACACTGCTTGTCATAGTTTTATATGAAGCTAATAAAAGCGTGTTAAAAAAATAAATCACGCTACTAATTTAAATGCGAAAGTTTGTTTGTGTATGTTATTTAACATTTATTACAAGGTAGGTTTTAAATAGATATAAATAGTTATGAGCCAACGTTAGCTATATAAATTTTAATTATTTTTTTCGTTAAGTTTTCATTTTTTCTCTTTATTAAAACCTTCCATGGACCTTAAGGAACATACGAAAAAAAAATTGCCGAATTGGTCCAGCCATTCTTGAGTTATACGCTTACAAACATTCATTTTTATTTATATAGATATGAGCTTTTTTTCAAGTTATACTTATTTTGGGATATACTTTAAGCATTCAGAACACTTGTTCTTCTATAGTCCTGTGAGGACTAATAATGGATACATATAACGTTATATCCATAATACATTTTAACTACTATTAAAATCGTTTGAAAATACTAACACCACTTTTACACAGATAACCTTTTATATGAAAATTAAGGAACTTTCCGTCGGTAACATAAAAACTTTTTAATGAAACTACTTTTTAACGAGTGCAATTTGCGTATAACTTTTTGTAGCTCAGATGTAAATCTGGAATATTTTCCAAGCTCCATAACAAAAAGGAAAAATGGATAAGGATTCCTTCCTTATAATTTCGACATGTTCGTCTGTTTGTATCCCCCCCATCAAATATCCTTTTTGACGACTCGTTTGGCTTGGTTTGTAGTGACTACTTGCTGTGCCAGCGGTCGCGGTTCGAGTCCCGCTGGGGACATTCATTTGTGTGATGAGCACGAATGTTTGTACTCCAGTCATGGGTGTTTGTATTTATAATACGTATGTATTTAAAGTTATATATGTGTAGTGTATCAACTATCTAGTATCCATAACACAAGCCTCGTAGCTTACCATGGAACTAGATGGCGCTGTGTGTTAATGTCCCAAGTCCCAACATATTTATTTATTTATTTATAATTTTATTTTTTTCATAAAATGGCTGTATGTGATCATTTTATTAGGAAACTATTGAAGCTTTAATTCTAACATAAATAGTAGGTTAAAAGTAAAAATATTGCTGACAATTCTGTTAGAAAATTACAAAAAATTTAATATTGATATTGGTATTGCATGTAATTTAAGGCGAGTTACATGCTTATAAAGTTGGGAGTCTGAGATTGGGATATTTTCTTTGTTTATTATACAGAAATACTGTGATGCACCAACAAACAAATAGTGTATGTATATTTTATATACATAATATGTTAATGCATAACATAAATTTAATATTTTATGCTATAGAACCCAGATTCACATTTGTCTCTATAGCATATATGGCCGATATTCACGGGGTTCTCACTAAAATTACACGCAAGATAAAAAAACGTGTGTGTGTACTTATGTACGCACGTAAAATTTATATTTCTTTGGCATAACAGAACAAAAATAGCTAAAGATTTCATCCCGTATGTCACAACTCTCTGTTTGTAACAGGAATGCTCGATTTGGCGGGGGCACTGCCGTGCCCCACGATGCAGCTAGGCTCCATCATGTCGTTTTCAGCTAACTTCATCATGTCGCTTTTTGGCTGACGGTGTGCGCGCGCATCGTAAAAATTTTACTCTCAACATTTTTTCCAAACTTGCCAAAAGAAGTATAGATACAAAAAATCTTTAATAGAAATAATGAAATGAGAATATTATTTCAGACTTTTTAGGATTCGTTTTTTTATTTAAATTTTTGAAATTCATTTTATCGGACGTATGAAATCCTATAAATAGCTTTCCGTTAAATGTCTCAAAGATTATTTTGCAATATTAAGATTGCTTAGAGTTTGTTTGAACTATCGGAATGGTGGTATACAAAATAATTAATTTTTTATAGAATTAGTTTTTAAATAAAAAGGTGATTTAACTTTTTGAATGAGTTATTTCATTCTAAGAGATGAAAATCTGACTTGAAATTTATATGTATACTAACAAACTACCTGCTTTTCTCAAGTGCTTCCCCAAATACACGGATTTTGCTCAACACTTCATAGGTTTTAATTTTTTGGCGCGACACCCTGATCCTTTTTCTAAAATTAAAGTAGGATAAGTTACTCCTTATATTATCAGCTATCTGCCAATGAAAGTTCCGCCAAAATCAACAGACAAAAAATTTTAAAATAATTTTCTTATATACTTTCATATATATTTAGTAAAAAGCTGTTATTTTGACATTACAAATAGACACTTAAATTTTATTTATCTATTTAGTTAAGCTATGAAGGTCTAAACAGTTCATTAAAAGGACCAAGAATTGTCCACAATTCGACTAGAAAATATCGTAATAACATAAACAAAAGAACATACGTATTAGATACCGCCTCATTTGTTGAAATCGATTGAATTCATTGAAAATGTCCAACACGCCATTCAATTAATAGATTACGTAAGGGTTGATCGATTAATTTTTATTGTTCAAACGCTCATCCACTTAACTATAAATGGGAAACGTGAATAACAATTTCAAATAACGTTAAAAATATCCCGTTGGAATATCAAATGTATGAGCTTTTATTAAGCTTCGACCCGAAGCTTAGTTCGCGTGTTGTTTATATGTATTTTTTTTATATTTTTAACTAGCAACACATTTTTGCTTAAACTTAAATCAAATCAAAATATACTAACTTTAAATCCATACTAACATTATAAAAAGCCAGAGATTGTTTGTTTGAACGTGTTAATCTAAGGAACTACTTATCCGATTTGAAAAAATCTTTTTGCTTTAGATAGCACGTTTATTACAAGGTAGGTACGTTTTAAAGCCCCATTGAGCAAGGCTATAGGCTATATTAGTATATATCATTATGCTACTGCCCAAAGAAGCGGAGCAGTAATCATAAATGTCAACAAATCGGGCAGACTTGCATTATTGTAAAACTATATATACATACTAATATTATAAATATGAAAGAAACGGCTTGGCGGATTAGTGTGATTTTTTGTATGGAGATAGTTGGAGGGCTGGAGAGTGACATAAACTTTTTACCGCATGAGATTGTCTCTTTCTCACAGGAAAACGTTATAATTGAATCCAAAAATAATATTTAAGATCAAAATTGCTTGAAACTTGGTATAAATGCTCTTCAATACAATTAATTAAATACGTGTTTTAGCATTTTTCGAAATTCATCCCATAAGGAGGTAAAATAGCGGATGAAAGTTTGTATGAAACCTATCATTTTAGATTTTTTGTTGATTTATTGCGAGCGAAGCCGCAGGTTCTTCTAGTTCTATATAAATACGAGTACATAGTATATAATATAATCTCTGTATAACATAAAGCCAAAAAAATTGTAGATTGAACGCGGGGGAAGCCACAGGTTTTGCTAGTTGTTTAATATATGAGTATTCGCTCAACAAGAAAATGTCGCCTTAGAATTTAGTATAATTTTAAAGATCTTTTAAAAGAACTTTTCACATACTAATAACATATATTTTTTCTTTTCATGTGCTGTCCATGCAGAGCGCAGCTTGAGTAAGTAAAAAAAAGTTTTTATATTTTTTTAGCGTAGGTATATTATTATACGTTTGTCTTCAAAAATTTCATTTTTTCTTAGTCTAATTCATTGGATTCTTGATCTAGCTGCATTATCAAGTGCAAATCAACAGGTTCGATTCCTGTTGTGGGTCAAAAGTTATATGATGGCTTTTTCGTCATCATTTTCGTCGCCATATCTAGATACGTACAATCGAGTGGGATTGTCATTGCATTGAATTTCGAGAGCGAAAAAATGGAGTGGAATCATCTGTTTGAATGACGAAAATGATTCCGATAGACAATTTTTTTCGGTCCACTTTATAACGTAAGTAGTTAATAAAATCCAATTTAAACATACATCGATATATATATATATATATATATATATATATATATATATATATATATATATATATATATATAAAATCTTATAATATTAAATGAGCAATTCACGTATATATGTATATATTAGCCTATAGGTATTGTATATTAATGTTTTTTTGCTTAGCTTGGGGGTAGAATTTGTTGAATTATTGTTTTTTTTTAAATTGCAATAATGCAATATTACAGTGAAAGTTAATTAGGAAATGACTATATTCGTCAATTCTTGAATATTTTCAAAGATGATCACGCGAAAAAAAATCGTTCAAAGTAAAAATTTAAATTAATTATTTATTTTAAAAATCAGTGGGCCACATCACTATTTTGAGTGATTATTTTTTTTATTTCAATAATTTTGTTTTTTTATAAGCTATAAATTCTACCCCCAAGCTAAAAAAAAGAACAAAATATTTTTTTTTCGCTCCACCCTTTTTTTTTAACGTTGGGAAATGCATTTACGCACGAAGTGTGGGACTCACCGGCGAAGCCAGTACTACCCACTAAAACCCAACAAAGCCTTCCCCCGTCTTAATGGGGCGTCGCAGGGTCGCTTACGCATTCAACTACGACGCCCCGACGGCAGGCCTGCCGAAGCAGACCACAACAACCACGGGGTTGCTCCAAGGTCCACTCTGCTGTCAGAGAAGTACCAGGAGCAACCCGCATGGTACACCGCCCTCCGAAGAGGGCCACCTCCCACCGCTCACCGAAGAGGGCCACCTCCCTGTGCGTTTCTTGGCTTCGCGCCCGGCTGAATTGCCGGGCACTACTGAGCCCCTCCACCACGACAAGGTGAACGCACGTTGGGGGGGGAGGGTTCCATACCCTAAGGATGCCAACGGGACCCTATTATTAAGCCTCCACCCTATTGTATATAGTCACATACAAATGCACAATAATCTTAAGCTTTAGCAATCATAGTATTAGAATAGCGCTTTAAATGAAATACCCAATTATTACATTCGTTTATTAATGTATTTAAATCATTTAAATTTACAACAATGAAATAACAAACCGGACACACACATACTTTTTTAATTATTAAATAAAGAATGTTGCCATCAACGCCATCGTATTTATATAAATCAAATTAATAAATAATCATTATTTAACTTATTATTATTGCCTGTTTAATTCATTTATTTTGATTTATTATAATAAATACAGATATTTTAAAATAAAAGATGTAAAAATTATGATGACTATACTAACAATACTCTATATAATAAACCTCTCTATAAAATAAATTTAGATATATATATATATATATATATATATATATATATATATATATATAGAAGCGAAATTCTTTTCCAAAGCAATTAAAACTTGCCGATGCATTACCATTTAACGAAATTACTCTAAGAATTTTCATTGCAATTCAGTATGAGAATGCAGTTTGCAAAGTTGCCTTCATTTCACAGGCGCTAAGCGAGGGTTTAAGCCACTTTTTGTACCAGAATAGTTAAATATTATTTAAATTTTACTATTTTCTAGAACTGTTTAGTCAAAATAAATTAATCTATGTCGATCTGTCCGTCACAGGTTTCATACTTATATATACTTCAATTAATTTTAGAAAATATAAATTATTAATCCATACAAAGAACTGTCTTTGAATAGATTTGATATTAAGGCAAAAATAAAAAATTAACTATTTTAAAATGTCTTATACTTCGCAGTTATCGTGTTGAGTAATAATGGAAAGCTCAATAAGTTATTGATTTACTTAAAAAATGTTGCCTTAAAATTAATCTATATATGACAAGTTATCCATTTCTACCTGGAATTCTAGAAAAAGGTAACTAAATCCTCCTCCGTCATATACATATAATAAAATTTTGAGTTGAATCTGTAGATCAAACCTTTTTTTTTGAAAAATCTTATTGAAATGGTCATTATTATCGATACAAAGACCTAATCTATAGTTTTTAGAATTTTTGTCTGTCTGTCTGTCTGGAAATGAAACAGGAAAAACCACTGTATAGATTTTGATGAAATTTGGTATGTTATCCGGGTCAACATATAGGATACTTTTTGCTGCGGGAAAATATCTCATCTCTGAGAAATCTATACTAAACTTTAAAATGTAACTAGGCACGAGCCCGAGCGGAGCGAGGGTGACTGGCTAGTTTGTAATATAAGTTTAAAAAAGAGAAGAAGAAGAAGAAATCTAAATATAATTATTTTTCTATATAAATAGGCAAAGACCAACAGTTCAGTATCTTTTTCTTCTCTGTTTGTTAACCGATTTTCTTTTTTTTTTGTTAAGCAGCTATTGACGAGCTTTATTGTTATGAACAAAAAGAGTTCAAGCTGTTTATTATTAAAAATAGGTAAATTCTATTATGAGTATGGTCGCATTTTGGCCACTGGACGAAATATCAATTTTTGAAGGAGAATATGTCATTAGTATTTAATAAATTGCTTTGACACGTTTGGCTCAGTTTGCAGTAACCCTACTCGCTGTGCCAGCGGTCGCGAGTTTGAGTCCCGCTGGGGGCATTCATTTGTGTAATGAGCACGAATGTTTTTTATCCAGTCATGGGAGTTTATATTTATAATATGTATATTATACGTATTTAAAGTATATATGTGTAGTGTATCAACTATCCGATATCCATAACACAAGCCTCGGAACTTACCATGGAACTAGATAGTGCTGTGTGTTAATGTCGCAACCTAAAAAAAAATATATCTAATAAGACCGATGAGTCAATATGACTAATGAGATATTACTAGATAACTGCCTCGGCGGTGTAGTGGATTGCATATATAATATTATAATGTTCAATGATATTATAATTTTTGTACATTTCATTTATAAATTCAAATTAGAATAAAAGACAATATTGGCCGCACGTTCGCTTTCTCTCTTTTTTAAGTTCATGAAGGTATTGCTCAGTCTATTCTCTATGTATATGATTCTAAGAACTTATAAGAAAAGCAGCCATGCCTATAAACATTATATGCACGTTTTATCGTTGGATTGTAGATAACAAGTGCGCTAGTGGTCGCTAAGAGTCTGTTAGGCCCCATGATTGAGCGCCGATGGCTACCGATGATGGCCAATGTTCGAAGTTCGAACAGTTTACCCTTTTTTCTATATAAAAAAATCTTTACAGATTTGAGAGTATAATATAATCTATACATATAATAAAATTTTAACTAAGCTGAATCTGTACATTAAATATTTTTTGAAAAATCTTAATAAAATAGACATTATTATCGATACAGAGGCCGAATGTATAGTTTTTTTGAATTTTTGTCTGTCTGTATGTCTGTCTGTTACCGCATCACATAAAACCTATTAGAAAGATTTTGATGAAATTTGGTATGGTGATAGCTGGTTATCCGGGTCAACATATAGGATACTTTTTACCGCGGTAAAATATCTCATTACTGAAAAAAAATACAAAAACTGCATTGTAAGAGTATACTAAAATATAAAACCTAAGAATTTGGTTTTTGGTCAACTGAACGCGGGCGGAGCCGCGGGCAATGCTAGTATATAGTACAATATTATGTTAATTCATCTTAAAACAAATAGTTTTGTATATGATAACAAAGTTTTTCACCTAAAAAGTGAAAAAATCATGTTTGATACAAACAACGTTCGAGACTCCTGACGTCGCTGAAAAAAAAGTTGAAATATAAATGACTCCAAAGCTCCATAAATCATACTAATTCCTCAAATTATGGTAGTTTAATAAGATATTATTTTTATTAATTTACATTGATTTTACATTTGCTCGATTATTTATAATAATAAAGAAATAAAATGATGATAATATTTCACTTAAAAATAATAAATGATTTAATAAGCATTATAAACAATACCTTTTTATTGAATATAAAATATATTCTGCTCGAACTTGGCTAATACACTGCCGTGCGATAGGCAACGTCTTTATAGTTTGCAAATATGCAGTAAGATAAAAAACAAGAAAATGCACTAGTTAAGCGCATTTGTGTTTGCCTACAAACTTATGCATTATAATATTTTGTAAGCAAAAGCTTGGCTTAGTGAGATTACCAGCGCTGGATTTACTCTAGGGGTACTCGGGGCTAGTGCCCAGGGCGGCAAATTTTCAAGAGCGAAATTCGAAGGATAAATAAAAAAAATCTTAATGTTAACTTCGAAAATGTTTTATTTATTTTCCAAAAAATTAATAATTAAAAAAACGATTCTTTGCATTTAAAAAAAATTACAAAAATATTGAACTTTATCGAAACTATCCATTTTATGCAAAATTTCGATAACGGGGTCGCATTTCTTACATTGCATCCGGCACTGGAGACACATATATACTAGCGGCTCACCCTCGCTTAGCTCGAAAAACAAAAACAAACCTGTCCCACGGAAACCGTATATTTTTTCGGGATAAAAAGTAGCCTATGTGTTATTCCAGACAATAATCTATCTCTGTGCCTAATTTCATCCAGATCCGTTCAGCCGTTCTGGCCTGAAAGTGTAACAAACATCCATGCTCACAAACTTTCACATTTATAATATTTATATAGATATATTATTTCGGTCTGCTGTTTATTAATTTTTGCCCTGACCTATATGAAAAGTACATAAAAGAATATCTGTACAAACTATTAAAATATTTTTTGCGACCAATTAGTAGGTAACATTCATTTTATTTACATGATCAATTAGAGCTGGAATAAAAAGTTTCGATGTTTTTATAACCAAAATGAATCAATTGTAAATATACGTAATGGATATATTAGATGTAAGCCTCAAGCATTAAAAAAGTTATGCCATATCTATTATTATTTAGCTTTTATTTTATCAATGAAAAAAAATTGGAAGAAGTTAGTTATTTTTTCGTAAAGTTATTTAAATTGTAGTTATTATTATAATATAGGTAATACAAAACAGTCTAGTTATAATGGTATTTAACTGTTTTGTATTGTAAGTACATATAAAATTCTATAATCTCTTTTTTGGAAAAATATAAATTAATACCATATGTGTATTATTCAATTTTTCGATAATAATTATGGTCTAATTTTGACTACTGGACAAACACGAATCATACTTGTCATCAAACTTTATTCACAAAATGTTAGTTTTATTAGGAAAACTAAAAAGAGAAACCTTCTATTTTTTCCTATGGTGACAATCTTAAATGTTCCGGCTCAAACCCCACATTTCGTCTATTATATCGGATTACTATTATAAATGTGAAAATTTGTATGTTCTATATGTGAATAAAATAATAAATAAATATGTCACACAGCACCATCTAGTCCCATGGTAAGCTACGAGGCCTGTGCTATGGATACCAGATAGTTGATACACTACACATATATAACTTTAAATTCATACATATTACAAATATAAACACTCATGACTGGAGTAGAAACATTCGTGCTCATCACACAAATGAATGCCCCCAATGGGACTGAACCCGCGACCGCTGACACAGCAAGTAGAGTCACGACAATCTAAGCCAAACGTGTCGTTGTTACTTCTTCACATAGATGGACTAATTTTAATCAAATCTATTTATTACACAGATACATTATAAGCTAGAGAAAGCACTAGAATATAATATATAGGTTAAGCTCCTAGGAATGCACCTGAGCTAAGCTTATCTTCAAAAGTTTTTGAATAGACATTTCATTTTTAGGACCACCTCTACCAGTTCACCGCAAGCCAAGTCACCGGCTACAAGCAGTGCTGGCGCGACCGCCGGCGCATCCACCGCTCAGGGCGACAGGACACCTACAGCCCACAACAAACAACTTCAAAATGTCAAGGGCCAAGACCACCCGCCGCATCCTTCCGTAAGTTTTGCAACAAAAATTTTTAAAAATTTAAATTCAGCAAAAAATTTTGATGATGAACCCAAAAATTTTAAGTTATGTGGAAAATAAAATAAATTTTCCGATGAAATAGGAAATGTATTTGTATTTTTTTTATATTTTGATGATAAAGATACAAGTTAATATTATAATGATTGTACATAAAATAATAAGTTATAGGGTGGAACGTGGAAAAGTAAGTACAAAACTAACTATATATATGTATTACTTAAATGGTGTCCGTCGATGTTTTAGCTTTGGTTGTAACTCGTTGGTACTTTGAAGTAATTGTTGTTTTAGATTAGTTTGTTCCTTCCTGTCTGTTAAATTTGAGGATCTATTAATTTGATAAATTACACTTATGCTGAGTACACACGAGCGTATAAAAATATTTTTTTTACTTATATAGTAAATTACAAAAATAAAAATAGTATAAAGCTTTATAATAATTTTACAAGTTATATTGAGTATTGAAGCCAAAACACTAGCAAAGTCTCGCTAAATCCCAACGCCAAATTTTGAACAAAACCGAGTCAGCACTCTCATTAGTAAGGACACAAATAATAGGGTCTACACTATTTCATATACAATATATCAATAGAAGATAAACTAAGCTCGTTAGCTACTGTCATATCAAGAAGATCCTCTGAATAGATGGATCTTGATAATACAAATCATTTAAAGCACAAATCTCAGACGAGAATCGAATTCATAACCCCCTATTCAATAGATACGAATCTAAATTGAACCCACATTCACAGTAACTGAATCCATGCAAGTGAAATATCGACAACAATAAAAATGCTTACGTGGCATGTTCCGAAATTTATGGGACCCGTTAAAAATTATACGCTGATATGTATTATTTGTCGTATAGCAAAAATGTAACATTTTCATTGAACGTTGACTGTTTATTGATTAATTTATATCAAAAATTTGTTTTTGGCAATTTATCTTAAGTTATATATGGAATTATCAAAAGCCAAATTATTTATTTTTGGGGATTTATCTATAAGTTTGTTAAAATTGATATAACTCAGGACTAGATTATATTATCCGGACATATTTTGGACTGATTATAAAAAAAGAAGTAGGTACTTAATACGAATTTTAAGATTTTTTTATGACTAAGTTATTTCTTTATAGATGGTCTCTCATATAATAGTATACGTACAATACTTAATTAATTTTAACGTAAAACCTCTTCCTTTTCGAAATTGGTTAAAATTTTAGAGTACACCTTGGCTAATACATATAATTAAATAAATGTTATATTAATATAATAAATATTAGGCATTTACTATAATACTTTATACTCTCGTGTGTACAAGCCCTTCTAGTAGAGACTGTCTTCTTATATGAACCAAATATAAAATCTAAATTATAAAATTGATGTAAAATAAATTATTTTTAATTTAGTTTTATGTATCTATTTATAAATATCTTTAAAACGACATGAAAAATATCTGAATGCTTCAACGGAAAAAATAATAATATTAGAATAAATAAATATCTTTTTAATATAACACGATGTAAGTATATCTTAATTATAAATTATTATCTTTTATAATATTATTAAGTACATATATTTCTAACTACTTTGAGTAGAAATCTAGAAATAAATTTCCTAAATTAATTACTACTTTAAATAAACAAAAACATATCACGTTTAAATAATATATTATTTAATACTTTCTTAGGTTTACGCAAATATTTGACATTTTAAATAAAACCATCTTGTCTTTCCAATCTCTCCCGTGACTATGATTGCTGTAAAGCATTAAAAAAAAATTTCGAACCAAAAATCTAAGTAAATCTGCGAAATAATCGGAAAAGATAGTTTTATTTTTAATATATTATTATGATTACAATATACCTTCTTAATAAAAACTAAATATCAATTAACTTGATTATTTCATTTATTAATTAAACTTGCAACTCAGTATTAACCACTACGTAGGTTACGTAGCCTAGATACGTTTTAACGGGTAGTTCAAATTTCTCGGAGATGAGATACATATTTTCCCGCAGTAAAAAGTACTTTAGCTGGATATCTAGCTATCATCATAACAAATTTCATCAAAATCTGTCTATTGGTTTTCTCGTAATATATTCCCAGACAACAAAAAATCAAACAAAAAATCGAAAAACTATAATTTCGGCCTCTGTTTCAATAATAATGACTATTTCAATAAGATTTTCAAAAAATATTTATTGAACATATTCGACTCAGAAATTATATGTGTAGATAATGATACTTTCATTTTTCTGGGCATTTTCCTAGAATTAAAATATTGTTAATGTCACCCAATACTTCTTAACATCATCAAAGTAGTTTACAACTATCTCAAGCAATGAAATCTTTCTAAATATCAATTTCGGCCACGGCGGTCAATCTCACTGAGACTAGCTCACTGAAAGAGATACTAGAGTGCTTCGCGTGTACGCGCAGACAAAAGTGCACTCTCTATTCCTGTCACTCTCATACTCCTGTGGGACAACTCTATTACCGATGATAAGAGAACAGGTGCAGTGTCTAACTCTAACTTTCTCTATCTCTGTTCTGCTTGATGGTACGTGAAAGTGAAACTACATATTTTCGCTTGATCCTGAAAAATAGAGGGATATTACAAAAGAACAAAAGCAGCACTAAGAGAAAGAGATAGCTTTTTTCTATTTTTTTATAGAGCAAATATAAATAAATATAAATATGTTGGGACATTGACACACATCACCATCTGGTTCCATGGTAAGCTACGAGGCTTGTGTAATGGATACCAGATAGTTGATACACTACACATATATTACTTTAAATACACACATATTATAAATATAAACACCCATGACTAGAGTACAAACATTCGTGCTCATCATACAAATGAATCAGCGGGACTCGAACCCGCGACCGCCGGCACCGCAAGTAGGGTCACTACAGACTGAGCCACACGCGTCGTCAAGTAAATATAATTTTTGCAAAAATTTACTCAATCTAGTTAAGATAACAGCTCAGCATTTAAAAATGAATTCAAATAGTCTTATTAAAGTACGTCTCGTACTTGAAATAAACTCTAACTAAGTATTTTCTTTAATGTTGCAATGAAACTAATTAGAAAAACCATTTTAGTGGAAAGAATAAAACGATTGTGTTTACCATTCATTATGGAGTTTAAAGTATCTCTTCTAATTTAAACCCTATGTTGTTTCAATAAGACTCAAAGTCGCTTACACTATATAATTGGTAGCTTTATAAAGCATTTATTTGGCTTTTACTAAAGAATTATAGACTAAGTTAAACATTGTGAATTGGGAACAGTGGTATTACGAAAAGAGTATAGTAGGTTTTATTTTTAGGGTTCCGTACCCAAAGGGTTCCAACGGAACCCTATTATTAAGCCTCAGCTGTCCGTTCGTCTGTCAGAGGGCTGTGTCTCATGAACCGTAATAGGTAGAGAGTTGAAACTTTGAGAGAATGTGTATTTATTTTTGTAATAATAAAAAAACTTCAAAAAGGCTGCCCATGCAAATTAAAAAAAATTGATTATGGTACAGATCCCTTCGTGTACGAGTAGGACTCGCACTTAATCGATTATTTTCATTAGGAGTACTCGTAGAACTTATAGATATTAGCTGTACAGTGAAGACTAAAATAATGCTAAATACATATACATATCTAGCCATACTTAATATTATAAATGTGAATGTGTGTTTGTTTGTTTGTTTGTTTGTTTGTCCTTCTTTAACGTCGAAACGGAGTGACAGATTAGCGTAATTTTTTGTGTGGAGATAGTTAGAGGGCTGTAGAGTGACATAGGCTACTTTTTACCGCGGGAGATCATCTAATTCCCACGGGAATACGAGTTATAATAGAATCCAAAAAAATAATTATTGCTCTTCACTTGGTATTATTGCTCTTCAATAAAATTAAATAAATACGTGTTTTAGCATTTTTCGCAATTCAACTTATAAAAAGGTAAAATAGGTGATGAAAGTTTGTATGAAACTATCTTTTTAGAGATTTTTTTGTAGTTTTAGCGCGAGCAAAGTCGCGGGCTCTGCTAGTCTATATATATCTAGAGGAAGACTTCAGTACCTTTTTTTCTTGTATTTGTCACTGATTATTATTACCTTTTGGACAGTTATTTTTTTTTATATAGATAGGTAATTTTTTATATATTTTTTTCAAATTTTTAATAGCTTATATAAAAAGATAGTATCAAAAATACAACTCACTGATTAATTACGCAGAACGTATAAATGTTACGGACATGTTTGACAGGTAATCTACTTCAAATGGATATCTGTTAGAGCAGATTTACTCCCTAAAACAGGGATTGAAACTTTGTATGGAGTAAAACATATGTCGACTGCTGTTAATAAGAAAATTTGTCAAAAGGAGGCGCTGCCTTTACACAATTTTATAAATACAAATCATATGTTATATACGTTATTGGATACTATAAAAAATCACATATTTTTTATGGTATTCAGTGACAAAGATGCAGACTGCCCACCCGATGGAAGACGGCACCTGTCGCCCATAGCACTTACGGTTCATGCACTTAGGTTTTATGTAACAAAAATACAGAACCGCAGGTGCGTTGTCACTGTGAGGACTTAGATGATATGCCTCTTGCCTATAATTGCGCTGGCTACCTTATCCTTCAAACCGGAACACATCAATGTAATCTTTGTTGCTTGGCGGGAGAAATAGATAAGGATGTGGTATCCATCCAGTCGGACTCCTTAGGCTTGACTGAGTCCTACCACCGGTAAAACGGTCACATTAAAAAATATAGAAAAAGTTAATAAGAGAATGTGTTAAAGAAAATTAGAAACAAGTGAAAAGCAAAAAAGTCTTATCGCTAATGTACGGTATATACGGTTGAGAAGTGTGGTAATCTAAAATATAGTGTATTTAATATTATGTAACACCATCTGTGCTTACACTCACCCTCGCTTCGCTCGGGTTCGTCCCTAGCTTA